TGGTCTAGCGGTTTAGCATACCGCTTTACATATGATTGTCGCGGGTTCAATCAAGCGATATACCTTGCAAACATTTGTATTTATGAGTATACAATTGTTGTTTGTATCTGGGTGTTTTCAAAGTATATTTACAAAATATATTAATTTTTTTTTTTTATAGGTAATTACAAAAAATTATGTAAGTATATATATCAGTTGTCTAGTACCCATAACACAAGCTATTCTTAACTTGGGACTAGATGGCGCTGTGTGACTTTTCCAGGTTTATTATTATTATTTTCACAATTCTGCATTTTTTTTATTGATAACACAGACATAACATAACACTACATCCTTTTTTGTAGGATTACAAAAAATATTTTTTATATTTCTTAACTTAATCTAAATATATAATATTATAAATAGGAAAGTTTGTGAGTATGGATGTTTGTTACTATTTCAAGCAAAAACTACTGAACGGATTTTGATGAAACATTACAGTAATACAGCTTATGCATCAGAAGGACACATAGGCTATATTTTTTATTGAAATTTAACGCGGGTGAAACCGAGTGCACAGCTATATAGCAATATAGGTGGATACTGTATATATACAAATTAACTATATATGTATATATATAGAGAGGTATACACGCGCCCTCGTCTCATTAGAACATTACATAGTAACTTAATCTATAGTTTTCAAACTCGAGTTGGCCGAAGTTATAAGTGTATTGTTTCAATAAGTATTTACATGCCGTGTAGGTAATTGGAATAGTTTCATGTTTTAAGGTTGCTACTACCAATCTTGTTTAGTTAGTGAACTAGATCGTAGATTCGTCGCTCTTTAGTTCATTGCAAATCGTATATGTCTAGTAATTATAATTAATTCCCAACTTTCTAAATGAATAGGACATATTTATGGATTAAAAATGGGACTTTCATAAGGATATTTAATAAGTTATTTTTTATAAAATTTTTTCGCTATACCGGGATAATTTCAGCCGTGAAGAACTGGTAAGAACTAATGACATATACGTTTGTCATTTAAATAACAGTTTACTGTGTAGTAAGATTTCTCAGTAAGTGTGTTTTAATAGAAATTTTAATTGTATTGAATGGTTTAGTCTCCATTATCACGTGTTTGGAACCTAAAAAAGAGTTTACCAAAAATTTCAAACAGGAACTAACTAACCGAAAGAACTAGTTCGCAGAAGAGCTACGAACTAACGTGATCGCTTCGTGAATTATTACGCACATCACTATACTGACGTTTTCAGAGGTGCTCTGCCACTATCACGGAATGAAGTAATTTCAAAGTTGTTATCATGACTTTCAAAATGCTCAGTCACATCAACTTTGGAGGCTAATCAACGCTGTTACGTGTATTAGAAATTTAATTTTGACCTTATGGCCTAGTGGTTGACTACCAGACTTCGACGCCACAGGTCGTGAGTTCAAATCTGACGGCATAAAAAAACTTAAAGTGTATATTATATTCCTGACTATCTCTCTGGTGATGGAAACGTCCATAACAAACCAAATCTATCAAAAAGACGGCGGTAGATTCTCCCTGCCAATTTCGATTCTTATATATTTAGTTTAAAGTAGGCTCGTCGAATGTTGTTATTGACGTCGATAATTAACAACAGCTCTGACTATCCCATATGGAATAACAGTCGTGAAAGTATGTTATTATACAGTAGACTGTATTTTTCATTATTATTATACCTATTCTATATCTGAAAACAGCAGACAAAATCGCGTATAACAACTAGTTATTCATAAAACTGTGTATACATGTAGACAAGTTCCAGTTTCACCGTAGGCCCGTCTCGTAAAAGTCTATGTTTTACCGTTATTTGGGTCCCTTTTAGATAAACGAGAACGCTAGAAGTTAAGCCAGGCAGAACCATTAATATTCTATTTAATGCCTGTCTGGTTTGGCTAGGGTTGTCACTTGCCATCTAACTAAAATCAATTTGTATTAGCGGTCACATTATACCTATTCTATATCTGAAAACAGCAGACAAAATCGCGTATAACAACTAGTTATTCATAAAACTGTGTATACATGTAGACAAGTTTCAGTTTCACCGTAGGCCCCGTCTCGTAAAAGTCTATGTTTTACCGTTATTTGGGTCCCTTTTAGATAAACGAGAACGCTAGAAGTTAAGCCAGGCAGAACCATTAATATTCTATTTAATGCCTGTCTGGTTTGGCTAGGGTTGTCACTTGCCATCTAACTAAAATCAATTTGTATTAGCGGTCACATTATACCTATTCTATATCTGAAAACAGCAGACAAAATCGCGTATAACAACTAGTTATTCATAAAACTGTGTATACATGTAGACAAGTTTCAGTTTCACCGTAGGCCCCGTCTCGTAAAAGTCTATGTTTTACCGTTATTTGGGTCCCTTTTAGATAAACGAGAACGCTAGAAGTTAAGCCAGGCAGAACCATTAATATTCTATTTAATGCCTGTCTGGTTTAGCTAGGGTTGTCACTTGCCAGCTAACTAAAATCAATTTGTATTAGTGGCCACACACGTTTAAAACTCAGCCCGGACGGCTCGTGGCTACGACGCCATTCAATTGACACATTGGTTTTATTATAGCCCTTTATTCAGACGTAATATTTCATTGCTGTTCACACTATATGTAGTTCTTGGTCGTCTGCTTGCTTCCAAGGAAAGGCCTCTAATCTTTTCCATTCTGTTCTGTCTTGATTCTGGTCCATAGTTTCCCTGCTATTCTAACTATTTCATCTTCCCATCTGCTATTTGGTCGTCCTCTTTTTTTTTATCCTTGTCTTGAGTACTAAGTAGTTATAACCTTGCTACATTTATCCTTTCCACGTAATGTGTAGCCAACCCGGCGCTATTTCAGCTGTCTAGTTTTTATATTTATATCCTGTGTTTTAGTTATATTTCTAATGGTATGGTGGTTTATCTTTTCTATTTTTCTCGTTATTTACTGCACACTTTCCTGGCACATTGGTTACTACGCCTTATTTGGAAATGCAACAATTAGTTCAATGTTGCCTAAAGGAACTCCTTTTAATAATATATTTTAGTCATCATATTATATTTTTTAAGCTTTTTAATTTTAGGTTCTTAGTTGTCTGGACTTAACTTGATAATGTAAGCAAAGGTTTACTTTTCTTTGTTTTATAAGTTCTTCAGTTATGAAAACTGCCTGCGAGTTTCCAAATGATGTCTTTTATCATCTTATACAACACAGTATGTCTTCTTGTACTACTTATTTTTGTTAGTTATTGAAAATCTTCGTTTGCCTTTTTCGACATAACAAATAACATATGTATGTTCTCGAGATCTATATTCAAATTAAAAGTTAAAAAATACTATAATAATAGAAATTAATTAATTTAGTTTTTACCTGCTAAATAACTACCGGTACTATTTCATCTGAGACCTAAAGTAAGAAATAATAAGACTCTAAATTAAAGAACTATAAAAGTAAACTTACATATTGACGGCCTCGGTGGTCTAGCAGTTTAGCACATTGACGTACTTCCGATGGTCGCGAGTTCGATTCCTCCCACGGTGCAAACATTTGTATTCCTGAGTATTATTGTTTGTATTATAATAGTTTGGGTGTTTTCTTATTATATTATAAATAAAAATATCTAAGTATTTATATCAGTTGTCTAGTACCCATAACACAAGCTCTGCTTACCGTAAACTAAATGGCGCTGTGTTATTTGCCCAGGGTTATTTGTTTATTACTATTTATTATTACTATTTATGTATGTACTTCCGTATGCTGTATGCTGTACACTGTATTCTGTACATTCTATGTGCACCAACCTATTCCTCATCAGTTATGTCCCAAACTCGTTTACCACCTAAAACGCAGACTTAGTAAGCTAACTATATCTAAGTTTCTCTTCGTGTTTAATCGTCTTTGGTAATTTAGTTTACATAGTTGTCACTAGATGGCGCTGTTCAATTTCTACAACGCGATATTGTTTCGTTTTGTAGTTACTGACGCGTTGTAAGATTGTTTACTGGTTGGCGGCTTTTGATCAGATCACATTAATGTATATATTGTTGTTTTATTGTGGTAATTACGATCCTATTACACTTGTGTTTAAAAGTAAAGTGTTTCAATTCTCCTGACCTTCATTAAAGTTATGGAAGTGTACTTGTGAAGCATCGGCGAATGTAAAAATGGTCTCTTCGTGTCGGATCTAGCATTTGGAATATAATACGTCACGAGTTACTCGTTCACACCCAAGGGCGCAGTGGATTGTTGTCAAGGACGAGGCACATTGTGCAGTTAATAAGGAATACATGTACATATGTTGGAGTTTGTGTAACGTTGGAGTAACAGTGCAACCTGACGGCGTCCTGCAGATGCAAAGCGGAGCGCTAATCTATGGATGGAGCAATGAACGGAGCGGCAAGCAAAAATATATCTAAGTAGAAGTGTTAAGTGAGTGTTTTACCGGATAATCTGTGAGTACATTTAATTATATTCAGTGTTAGTAATTTTCAACCTTATATGTTCATGTGAAATAACTTTGAAAAAATATTAGATTTTGCAAAATAGTTCAAGTTAAATCAGAGACTGAATAATTACGAAAAAAAGGGTTACTACGGGCGATCCATGCTGGATGTCACATTAATAAATAGTGAACTAAAACATTTGAAAAAATTCAAGAAATTTCTACTGGGACTTGTAAAATCGTCATATTTAAACTATTTAGTATTCAAAACTTGTCATAATTATTGCAGTTGCAATTTACAATTATATATTATAAGAATAATAGTAAGGTTATTTGTGTGAAATAAATTTGTAACAATTTGTTAGTTAAAATATACTGAATTTTCTATCCATTGTTAAAGTAATTTGAACTTTTCATATTGCAATTTGGATTTAGAGCATAAATTTATAACGAGTACCTATATTTTGTACATACACAAAATATTCTAATTATAGTGCATAAAATATTATTATAGACTAATTACAAGGTATTGATCATAAATTTACATAATGGATTCTTTGATAAAGGTTCAGATTAACTCTAACAAAACAATAAGTAAGGCCAGAAGTAACTTTAAAAAGTCACCCAAAGATCGTTTGACTGTATCATACATAGAAACGCGGCTTGAAGCTTTAGAATCACAGTGGTCTTCATTTGTAGATATTCATAATAAACTTATAGCTAATTATGATGAGGAGGAATTAGAAATTAGTAAGTATGTCACCTGTAATATTTATGAAGTTACCCAAGAATTATTTTTTGATTACAAGTCTGAACTTAAAGATAAATTAAATGAAATTAAACCTAATATATCCATAATTTCTAAAATAAATAATAGTTCTAATGAACAAGCTCATAGTGTCAGATTAGCTAAAATTACTATCCCCATGTTTTCAGGCAGTTATTCAGATTGGACTAGCTTCAGAGATCTGTTTATGTCTCTTGTACACACTAATAGTGCATTGGATAATGTACAAAAATTACATTATTTAAAAACCCATCTATCAGGAGAAGCTGAACAACTATTAAGACATGTTCCTGTAACTAGTGATAATTATCTTGTTTGTTGGAATCAGTTGGAAGCTAGGTACAATAATAAACGATATATTGCAAATTCAATCTTAAAAAGATTTATGAGTCAAAAGAACATTACATATGAGTCATCAAATACATTAAAGGAACTATTAGATACAAGTAATGAATGTATAAATGCTTTAACTAATTTAGGCCTTCAAACTGAAACTTGGGATATTATTATAATTCATATTTTGTCTCTTAAGTTGGATACAGAATCTCGAAAATTGTGGGAATCGAGATTAAGCGATAGTACTGAATCTTTACCAACTTATAAACAATTTTCTGAGTTTTTAAATCAAAGATTTAGATCACTTGAATTTTTGGATACTAGGTTAACTAAAAGTATTATTAAAACAAAAGCGCTGCATGTTACTGAAATAATGAAATGTCCATTTTGCTCAGATAATCACAGATTATCTAATTGTAAGAAATTTGTAAAGGAAGAGCCAGAAGCACGTCGTAGTTTCGTGCAAACTCAGGGATTTTGCTTTAATTGTTTTGGCTCTAACCATTCTGTATATTCGTGTCGTGTACCATCCAAGTGTAAAATTTGTCAAAGAAAACACCATTCGTTGCTACACATGAATTCTATGTCTAAAACAAGAGACAGTGTCAATCCACAGAATTCACCAGGAGAAGAAGAACAAAATATTGTTAAACCAGAAATTATAGAAGAAGATGAAACAACCGAACGTATTACCACATGCCACATCAATATGCAAGGCCACATTTTACTGCCTACTGCATTAGTGGGGGCAATGACAAAATCAGGTACATATCTAACACTACGGTCATTATTGGACCAAGGATCGCAGGCTTCGTTCATAACGGAGTCAGCAGTTCAACTTCTTGGACTGCAGAAGAAAGCAAGTAAAAGTTATGTATCTGGATTAGGAAGTGATCGGGATTCCGTTGTGACCTCACAATGTGTGGTCAATATTAACATACAATCACTAATTAATCCAAAATTTGTTACGCAGGTCAAAGCTCATGTTTTGAAAGAAATTACCACATTGCTGCCGGATAAGGAAGTTCCTGTGCAGAGGTGGTCAAGTATACCAGATGTAAGGTTAGCAGATCCTACTTATAATATGCCTAATAAGATTGATATACTTCTAGGCTCAGATGTATATTATCAAGTTATTCAAGAAGGTTTAATTAGATGCGGACCAGATATGCCAGTGGCCCAAAATACTAAACTGGGATGGATATTATCTGGTAAGGTACAATCTGGTATTAAAAGAATAAAAAACTTTCATAGTTCTGTCATATGCATGCATGCTATAGTTAAGGAAACAAGTATGCTACAAAAAGTCGAAAAACAGCAAGTTAAACAAAAAATAAAAGTAAAAGAAATAATTGAAGTTAAAAAATATAAGGGAATCGAAGCAAGCAAGATAAAAAGAAATAATAAGGGAAAATATATTGTAAAAAATCCTTTTTGTGACCAAGGTTTTCATAGTCAATATACTAAACCATTGGAAAAGAGATTACCAACATTATCTAAGTTAATACATCAATATGGAAATGAAGTCAAGGAGTATAGTAAAATTAAAAACCTCCTAACTCATGTAGAAAGTAGAATGATGAACATTACTGTAATATATCTTAGGTTGACAGGTTATACTCTCTATGATCAGTTAAGTACTGGAAATCTGGAAAGAAAAAGATTTTGTGTTAATATAAAAAAATCATTAGAAATAAATAGTTTTAAACATAAAAAATGGAAAATTAACAGTAGTTCTGTGCGGATGATGGATGATAATAACAAAAAACCAATATATGTGTTAAAAATTGATATGTTAAATCTTACCTGTAATCAGGGTGATTTAATAATTACTATAGAGATGTTGGTTATAACTAATTCAGTAATAAACTGTAAAATAACTAAATTAATAAAATTGTTGAAATGGTTTGTCTATAGAAATGTATGCAGTACTGCACTACCTGAAAAATTATATAAAAATGGATTACTTACCAAAATGATGTGTTGATGCTGCAAATCACCAAGGCTGAAAGATTAAATACTTACCAGAATAATATTCGAGGATTTATCTGTGAGTTTACATTCTTAACTGGTCCTGGATGGCTGAAAAAGAAAAGGATTAAATTAAACAGAGAAATGAAAATATGAGATTTAATTATATTGATGCTAGTAATTGCAGTGAACGTTAAATATAAATTTATATAAGTTTAGTAATTAATAAATGAAAGTGATTGAAGAAATACTTACCCTTTTAAATATTACTTGTTCCTTTGAATAAAGAGTCGAAGATTTAATTACACATGTTGGCGTCTTGAGAAATGTTGTTGGCTAACTGTACTGAGACAAGCAGTACACAGTAGTACATTGACATACACAAGTTTATGGATGGTACAGAACCTTTATATGTTGTTAAAAAAAAAAAAAGGGGAATTCATGGGGTTGCATGAAATTACATGTGTAGTCAGTTTGAAATGTAATGGTTTGTTATAAAAGATTATCAGTTACTAAGCAGTTGTGTTGTACAATGTACATGTATAATTAATAAGTTTGTTTCAATTTTATTTTCTTTGTTTTCATGAAAACATTTCACTTGAAAACTTAGTATAATTGTTTAGTTTTTTCAATAAGTTTGATCTAAAGAAGGATGATATTGAATCAATTAATGAGTGTTTTTTGTTATTAAAGAAGTTTAAGTATAGATTAAGTTTTAGAAGGATTATAGTTATAATATGTTGTATGTATGTTCTCTCTAAAGAATTTATGTAATTGTTGTGTTTTTTGTTTCTTTTCTCACCATGAAGCATTAAAGATTTGTTTACAGTCCACTAAGTATTTGTATAGAAGTTCATGGTGGGCGGGGTGATGGACATTCTGTCCATGGTGGGCGGTATGTTTAATCGTCTTTGGTAATTTAGTTTACATAGTTGTCACTAGATGGCGCTGTTCAATTTCTACAACGCGATATTGTTTCGTTTTGTAGTTACTGACGCGTTGTAAGATTGTTTACTGGTTGGCGGCTTTTGATCAGATCACATTAATGTATATATTGTTGTTTTATTGTGGTAATTACGATCCTATTACACTTGTGTTTAAAAGTAAAGTGTTTCAATTCTCCTGACCTTCATTAAAGTTATGGAAGTGTACTTGTGAAGCATCGGCGAATGTACACTTCGTAATATTTTATTAACAATTTCCTGAGCAGCAGCAGCCCTAGTTGTGACAGGTGTGTACTCAGGTAAGGAGTAATTTTAAATTGAATATCGCAAAGTTGTTTATTTAAACTGTACTCAAATACGACAGCTGGGTTTATTTAATCAACTTTTAATGTTGAGTTTTAAATTCAATTCCGTAACTCTATCAACTGAATTACAGTTATTTTAACTATATTAACACGACGTTGTTATGTTTTGGAAATATTTAATTACTTAATGGAAATACGAAGTAAATTTCCTATTTATAGAACAGAATAGACAATTCGTTATTCAAATAAAATTAAATTTAAACACTTTTGAATATTCATACTTTTTTTATATTTCTCATTCGGAAAGTTGTCAACAAGAAGATAGAGCAAGAAACTTGCGTGTTGCTCTTTTAAATAATTGTTGTAACCTTACATTTTTTAGTTGAAGTGTGTGAATACAAACTATCATTCATTCATACCTTAAGAGCGACGCTGTTGTTAGTGCTTGTCTTGTCTTGTCTTGCCACTTTACACGAACTACCAACTAGCACTAATTCATTAGAGTCAAAATAATAAATACAAAATAAACTGGTTAAGTAACTAAATAAAATTTCATCAAACGTAGTGATTAGAGCAGACCAGTCCCTACAAGCTATCTCACACTCTCTTTATCTAAACTAATATTAAAAACTTGCAAATATAAGTAGTACTTTCCAAAAGTATGGATTAATGGAGTTATACATTCAAAAGTATGTATGAGATCCATTAAAATGGGAGAGAGTATTAATGGGAGCAGAGTAAAGTGCCTATTATAATGATCATGTAAGATTTTCTACCTCAACAAACAGCTTCGATCGCATTATCAATATGTACTCTTAGTAAATAAACAAACTAAATTTAGCTTAAGTAATATGTTTAAACTTTGTTTAATATGCACAGTTTAATCCCTTCGATAAATATGAACTCCATTATGTAGCTACATTGTAGGTGGAGCTTGAAATAATAAAGTATGACTAAATCCTTAGGCTCGCTAGTAATTTTATATTCTAAAAGGACAACGGCAATTTGGCACGGTGCGCAAAATCCTAACGAGTATCTGGGGATAGCGCCGACGAGTTGCCATCATGAAATAACCAATTTTTGGGTGATTTCTAACTAAGTAACAGCGTATGTAAGTGAATTTTGTAGGAAACTCGAACAGTAACGTTTTACTGCCGGAGTTTCCTTTTGTTCTACACACACACTTGTTCCTTACAAAATTAATTTGTAAACACAGTTAGGCAGTTAGATATCATGCAAAAATTGATTATTTCGTACCAATATTCACAAAATTTATTTTTTATTATGCATACGTTACACAATATTTATGGTATTTGAACCACTTTTTTTTTCTAAGGCTCTACATAAATAGGCCTCTGAAGGCCTGAATCGTGTAAAGGGCACCAGAATATAGAAGCTTCTGAGTTTATCCATAGGTGTGATATGTTTCTATCAGTTGTTGATGATGTCAACTGCCTATTAATAAAATTTTGGTAATAATAAAAGATACTCTACCACAGATTCTCCTCTTCAGTGGATATTCTTTTCTCAAAGTAAATAATCCGACAGATTATTATACCTTCTTTTTAGTTGTTAGGAAGCAAATTAAATAAATCCAACAACATTTATGGTCAATGATTATTATATTGGTATTGGTGATCAAATATTTTCAATCAATGATTCAAATAATTTTTTATATGTGATTGTTTTCATTTTTTATGGATAGATTTTCATAGTAATTAAATACTCAAATACAATGCAGTTAAATTCTAATATTTATAAAAAAAAAGAAAAAGAAAATACGTTTATTTGAGCAGGCTAGACACATAAAATATATAACAAAAAAAAATTACAATTTAGATTAATATGGTGCCAAATAGGTCTCCACTCAGTATATGTGACGAGGTGCTACGACACTGGTATTCTGCGGATATCTTTATATATATAAATATATATAATAATATACGTACATATATAAATCTAAGCGCATAACACTGAGTAAATTTTAATATGTATAGCTATTTACAGATATAAATAAATATATGAAATAAACGTTTAATAATGATACCGCATTTTATTTAACTCTATTATTTTTATCTTTTGTTAAAGGAAAAACATTTTTATTCTCTGCCAACGAAACAATCATTTCCTATTCGCATTGTGAAATTAATAAAAAATAACTTTAATAATTACAAATGCTTTATAAAGAATGTCGTCTGAAATTCTAAAGTTATGTCCACACGGGCCGCTTTGAATTTTACCGCTGCCAGTACCAACTTCTTTATGAATATAACAACACAATGGGGCAGCTGTGCTTGTGAACACAACTTTATTGTAAGTGCCGCAGATGTATAAAATAACGGAGTACAAGTACAGAAAACACATTCATACAAATCCATACTAATACTCTGTCTGTCTGTTTGTTTATTTGTTACTTTTTCATGAAATGGCAGAAGAAATCTTAATGAAATTTAACATGAAAATTATATTATTTTGAGGATATAGAATAGAATTTTACAGAAATTCCTTTATGGTCTATTACTTTTAAGTAATCGTTGTAACTTTACATTTGTACTTTGAAATGTGTAAATTCAAATTACGATATAGATGTAGACTATCTTTCAATATATAGTAATATTAATATCTCCGAACAATTTACACACTTTCACTCGCATGAAATTTATTACCTATATGTTATTCTGATGTATAACCTATATTACTGTAAAGTTTCATCAAACTTTTGTGTTTTTAATATTAATAAGATAAAATAGAGAATTTTCAATATAGGTATTATAACAATGTCATATCTACATTTCTTTACTGTATGTATTGCAAAGTCCATTTCCCTCAAAACCGACCTCTCAGGAATACTAACAGATAACGAACTGGAGTGCAAAAAGTACGTGTTAATTTTTAAAATATCAACATTTTTTAAATGTACCACGACAATTTGGCTCAAGTTAATCTAATAATCAGAAAATATAAGGGTCCTGTTACAATTGGAGTGAAGTATACAT